TCTGATAAATTTAAGATCAATCTCTTAGTTTGTATAGCATGGTGTATCCAGGGCCTCTATATCATAGATTTTTTTCTCTTTCGCTTCCCATAAGAAGGTCCACAGTAAAGAGACTTAGCAAGATATTTATTACTGGATTCTAGATTGCCAGCCCGTTGCCAGAAATGGTTATTATTATACTGCCTTTGTATTTTTACCTTGGCAAAGAGCAGATCTTTGTCTTAAGATGCAGATTTATTGCTGTGTACATCCTAGTCTCTACAATATATTTCATGTGTAAAGCTTGTGAGATATATCATTGTATTTTAGAGCCAAACATTTAGTTGATTTAATAGCAAATTCCAAATTTTCTGAAAGAGGAAGAGTGTTATGAATCAGTACTATAGTGAAAACAAGGTTAATGACTCTCATTCTTTTGATACAGACATTTCCTCTGTAAGAAAAAAAAAGAAAAATGTTTTGTTCACTACCCAGTTATGCTCCCATAGCTCAGTCCTGCAACTCTGGCTCGTGGGAGTAATACTTAGTTCTATGAAGAGTCTGTTGAAGTCAATGGTACTGCTCACACGAGTAAAAACTATTTGTTTAAGATGTGTAGTACCAGGCCCTTTACTTATAAATGAAAACAGTAAATATGACCGGAAAGGATAATTGACCCAACAGGTGATCCTTGTTTGGACATCTCAGGGATGGTCTTTTCATAATGCACAATGGAATCCTGTTGTTATAAAGACTGACTTGGACATCTCTCATGGGCTTATTGTACCCAAATAATTACTACGTCTGGATCCATGACCAAACTAAGACATACCATGCTTGTTGACTCTGAGCAATGGGAATCTTAGTCTATGTTTACACTGTGACTGGGAACCTACCTCCGAGCCCCGGATGGACAGACTTGTGTTAGTTCTGCTTCAGCTAGCACCAAATAGCAGCGTGGATATACCGAGAGCCCTGCAGGCATACAAAATTTTGTATCCAGAAAAATGAGCTGCAAATATATGCATCTACATCTGCAGATATAAAGTGAATATTTGCACATTTGCAGGGTTCTAAATACAAAATTTGTATCCGCATCCACATCTGTACCTGCAAAAATGAACTGCAGAAATCCACGTTCACGGATGCAGATATTCCTGGATATCCCCAGATTTGCAGGGCTATAGAAATAGCCACACAGGCAGTAGCTCGGACTAACTACCTGAGATCAGAGGGTCAGATGGGCTTGGACTTAAGCAGCTGGCCTGAGCCACCAACTGTGCTGCAATTTATCTACTGCTAGTTTTAGTGCACTAGATTGAGATAGTGCTGGTCTATCGATCCAGGCTGGCAGACACTTTCCAAGCTGTAGTGTAGACAAACCCACAGAGTACTTCAGTTAAGTCTTGCCCATTCCAGACACAAAAGGTAAGTCAGCAAAATAGCATTGTGATTGTGGTAAACAAACATGAGTGAGGAATGGAAGGTATAAGGTATTGTAATTGTTTTCTGTGATTGCAGAAAACTTTCAAGGCATAATAGACTGTATGAGAATAAACTACAATAGCCTGTTATTGACCACTGATTGAAATACCACTGATTGAAGTGAGCACAGCTCCGATGCAGTGCAGAATCCAAGCTACAAGTCATATATTGGTTAAGCGATCTTTTAGAGTCATCTGTTGAAGCTTATAGAGTTGTAAGCAAGGAAGGTTGAATACAGCAAGATTTAGTTTTTTATCCTGGTTCCCTTTTTTCTCCATCAGTCAATCAATCAATCAAACAAACAAAACTGATAGGAAATTAAATAAAAACCAGTAACACCATTACAGTGTTGTATAGCACTTTAAAGACTAACAAGTCTTTAAAGTGCTACATAGTCCTGTTTTTTGTTTCAGCTACACCAGACTAACACGGCTACATTTCTATCACATTACAGTGTTGTGCTTGTAGGATTAAATGCACGGATGTCTGGAATTACCAAAGATAAGGTTGCGCTGGCAGTGACAACTCAGCCACGTCGCGCACATGTAGCATTTTCCATTCAGCTTTCCCTTGTTAACTGTAACATAATTATTTTTAGCTCACCATAAAATATGCAGAATATGTCACTGTGAGTGAGTTCACATTGCTGGATCGAAGACTCATAGCAGATGTGCCAAGTCATATGTCAGTTGATGTAGCACAGCAGTCCATATGTAAGTATTCCTAGAAAAGTAAATAAATGCTTAAATGCTGAATAAATTCCCAGTGTGAAAGGTACTGGTCTGCAGACACTGGTCTAAATTCTGGTCTCCTTAGGTACATCTACCCTGCACGCTTATTTTGGAATAAGCTATTCTGGAAGAAATCCTCTGAAATAGCTTATTTTGAAATAGCACATCTACACTATAGGGAAGTCTCAAAATTAGTCCAAGGAAGGCTTCCCTAATGTGGACGTGCTACCTCGATTTAGCACCCCAGGAAGTACTGGGGAGTAATTACTTTGAATGGCCCTGGAGAGGAGCTATTTTGAAATAGCAGCAGTGGAGTGTCCACAAGACAGCTATTTTGGAACAGGTATTATTCCTTGTGTAATGAGGTTTACAGGAGTTGGAATAAGCTGTCCGTTATTTCAAATTTATTGTGTAGATGCACCCCTTTAGACTAGGATAAATATGATTTCCTTGGAATAACTCCAGATGTACACTAAAGCGGACAGCAGAATTTAGATCCATGGCATCCAAACTCACTATTTTAAAAAATTTATTTTTTCATGCTGTTTTCCTTCCAAATACATACACTGTCCGACCAATGCCATTTGCGAAAGAATGAAACCGGTGATTCTAGTTATTACCAGTCAAAAAAACCTTGAGGAACCTGAAAATAAATGGTAAATTCCAAAGCAAAAGTGTGTTACCAGCTTTTTTTGTGTATAATTCCCATTAAATTGCTGCTTTGATGTACAAATAGTAATTTTCCTAGTAATTTTTGTGTTATGAAATACTGACCATCTGTGAATAAATTTTCTCATTACACTCATGATTAAGTCCACTGAGGGTCTCACTGGTAATTTTGCTCCTCCTCTGTATGACAACCATCAGTCTAATGCTATTTTTATATTTGTAAATTGAATTCAGTGTTCATTTCTCTCTACAAATCTGTACAAACATGCATAGTTCATAGAATCTGTATACAATGGTGAGAGGTATTTTGTCTGCTAAGTGAACTGTTTAATAAATATCATCATGCTCAGGGATTTATATCCGGGATAAATTTTGTAACCCAGAATGCTTCATGGTGTAAAATAGTTGTAATTACATTGTTAACCGTGAATGAGACGACTCTGGCAGTTAATTTTAGTAGATGTAGAATGCTTAATTGTTCTGGCTGAGATGGACAGCCCAGAACGATGATACTGTGGGTATTTGCTGGAACATGCTTTAACTTTTTTATTATAATTTCTTTAAAATAATTTAAAATAATTATTAGATTGTGTTTTGTGGAATGTAATACATTCAAGAAGATTTATTTGGGCTGATTTCAGGGATTTTCTAATTTCTCTGTGGAGTGTTATTTTAAAATGTCAACTTCTGACCAGTTTTGAAATTAATCATTTATTTCAATGAATTTTTTCCTCTTCTCCCAATATGTACATTGGGAAATTGGCATCTCCATATACAAAAATATCAAGTGAAACTCACAGCGAACTCAAAGGAATAACAGAATTCAATTAAGAAATGGAGATTCCCATGTTGAAACATAGGCCATAGAAATCCATTTTAACTGTGAACCATGACTCTTCTGATATTTTGTCTGGCCACACCTGATATATTGGGATTTAACCCAGACCTCTAGATAAAAATGATTTAGAGCCAGATTCTCAAAAGTGCTTTGCACCCTCAGGTCTAAATAAAGTCAGTAATAATAAGGGGCACTCTGTACTTCTCAACACCAAGCACAGTGCCACAGTCACATTAGGAGATATACATTCTGGTGCACACAAGCATGTTGTGCACTTACTGGTCTTTGTGGATCCTGTTGGCGTGTTATAAAAGTTTCCTAATACATGCTAATGTAGCACTATATGCACATGTACTAGGTCACTGTCAGTGCATGTCAGCACTCCACTCATTTAATCTAATGCATCATGTAGATAAATCCTTATTCTTCTTCTTTGTCATGTGTGGAACCATAATTATGATACTAAAGAAAGCTGTAGTTGTGATCACCAGGCTGCAAAAGAGAACTGCTCCAGGAGATGTAATAGTACAGATATGATATATACATATTTTTATTTAAAAATAATCCTCAAATAATACTGTTGCTCTGGAAGCTTTAAGAGCTTCCTTGGTGAGGAAAAAAGTTAGTGAGGGGGAAAAAAGGTCAGATTTCTTGGTGAGGGGAAAAAAAAGATTTAAATGCATCTGGGAGATATGGGGAATTAGGGTACATCTACACTGAATGCTTATTTCAGAATAAGCTATTCCAGAAGAGATCTTCTGGAAAAGCTTATTTCGAAATAGCACATCTACACACAAAAAGCGAAGCAAAATAGCGATTTGCTATTTCGAAATAGATTGTCCACGCTGATTGGACGTTGTCTCGCATTTAAGGCCACCCAGAACCAGTTCAGGCAGGGCATCAGGTCAGCAGTTGCTTCTGGAGTTGCTGCCTGAGGCGATCTGAGACGCGTGCTTAAAGGGAACCCCCTGGACAGCCGCTTCTCAGGTTCTTCTCCTTGCTTGTCTACCTCTCTGAGGGAGAGTGAAGCATTTCCAGTGTGTGCTTTGGTTGCTCTGCTTCAGGACACCACAGCACACCCTGCTATGGAGCTGGAGCTATGCTGCAGTTTCTGCTGCAGTTTCTGCTGGCTGCCCTTCTGATCCTGCATGAACTCAACCCCGAGCTGCTTGAGGAGATCCTCAACATGTGTCTGGGAGTGCAACTCTTTCAGACGCATCCCACTGGCAGCTGGACACCAGATCTGCCTGGTGGGACCAGCTCATCATGGAGCTGTGGGATGACCAGTAGTGGCTCCAGAACTTCCATATGAGTAAGGAGACGTTCCTGGAGCTGTGTGCCTGGCTCGCCTCTGCCCTCACATGATGGGACATGCAGATGAGACTCGTCATTCCCCTGGAGAAGTAGGTCACCATCGCAATCTGGAAGCGCTCTACTCTGGGCAGTTACCAATTCATCGGGAACCAGTTCACCATGGGGAAGTCAACCATTGGGCCCTTGTCATGCAGGTATGGCACTCTTGGGCTGCACTCCTGGGGCGGGGGAGGGGGTTACTGGAAAGGGGGACCCACGGGAAAGGGGGAGTTAAGGGTATGGGAGGTGGGATGGGGGTTCTCCACTCTCTCCCTCACACAGCCCTACCAGAGGTGCAGGCTACATAGGGGCCGGCTCCTGGGGTGTTTGTTGCGGGGAAGATGGGGAGGGCTCAGGGATCTCCCAAGGACTCTGGCACTCCTTTGATTCTCTGTTTTGTTTGTTTGTTTGTCTCCTTCTGAAGGTGACGAGGGCCATCAACATCGTCCTGCTGCACAGGGTCATTCACGTCAATGACATGGAGCCCATTGTGGCTGGATTTACTGCCATGGGCTGCCCCGACTATGTGGGGGAGGAGGCTATTGATGGCACCCACATCCCCATCTGGGCCCCTGACCACCGGGAATCTCAGCAAATTAACTGCAAGGGATACTTTTTGATGGTCCTGCAGGCCCTGATCAACCATCTGGTCGACCAGTTTTTGGATACCTTCATCGTCTGGTCGGGAAAGGCGCATGTTCAGAAACCAAGATATATATATATAAAACAGCAGAAGATGTTCTTGTCATCTGTAGGATGCATGTTAATGAGGATAATTAAGTGGTCCGGATGTATCCCATACATAGTTTTTAATGTGGAAATGCAGATGTTAATGGCAGGAGAAATTGGATTTGTAATGTGCCAACCAGTTAATGCCTTCGTTTAGGCCCAGAGTAATTGTATCAGATCTGTAGATAAACTCTAGTTCTGCGGACGCTCTCTGTAATTAGTTAGTGAAATTCCTTTGTAGAAGAATGGCTACTTTTAAATCCATGACTGGGTGACCAGGCAGTTAAAATGTTCCCCTATGGTTATATCAGTGAGAGCTGCATATCAATCCTAGGAGTCCTGTTGCACCTTATAGACTAACTGAAGTGTAGGAGCATAAGCTTTTGTGGGCAAAGACCCACTTCGTCAGATGCATGTATGCATGCATCTGACGAAGTGGGTCTTTGCCCACAAAAGCTTATGCTCCTACACTTCAGTTAGTCTATAAGGTGCAACAGGACTCCTAGGATTGATATGCAGCTCCTAGAAACTTGAGACATAACCTGTCATGATGAATAATATATAATAAGTAAGATTCACTTGCAGGGTAAAAGCCAGGAGCGCCCATACTCCAAACTTCAGTGACAAAAAATTAATTAAAACAAAAGGAAAAACTATGTAGCACTTTAAAGACTAACAAGATGGTTTAATAGGTGACGAGATTTCGTGGGCCAGACTTAGTCGATCAATACAAATGTGGCAAAATAATGGCCAAAATTCTTCCCTAAAAGTGTCTGAAAGGGTTTTAGGGACAGAAGGAAGAACATTTCAGTGGAAGTATTTACAATTTAATGTGAAAAGAGAAAATTGCATATGCTACCTTTGTTTTTGTACCAGTTGCACAAGTGGGCTTATTACAAGAGGACACAGGGCTGTGACTGGCATGGGGAAAGGAGGAGGATTAGAGGAGGGGGACCACTCTGCCTCATATTTTCCCCTCCCAGGTATGTGACAAGGTCTATGGGGAGGAGCAAGCCTGAGCTCCTTTCCCTGCCCTTTGCGTGTATGCAATTTTTCAACTTCGGAGTTGTGACCTTGGCTATATCTGACCATGAATAGGAGAATGGGCCCTTCCAGATATCTGCTGAACTGGAGCAAGACTAAAATCAGTATTTCAGTTTCACATCTGGGGATTCAATCCCAATCTTAGCCCATCTGGCATTCAGCAGTGGTGTGAGGCAGGGGTCTGTTTGGGTCCATCTCTCATTGATAGGCTAGTACATTGAGGGTGTATAAATTATAGTTGCACACAGGTCAGCATGTAGACCTTGACATGAAGGAATAATTTTGTCAGAGATAGTTAAACAAAATAGAGATGGGAGCTGAGGCGTGATCCCCTGTGTTATTTTGACATAGGTGCGTTTGACTACATTTTATATGATTTTGATAGATTTCTAAACAAATTGTAGTAAAAAATGTATGAAAGACCTATTTTCATATGTCTCTGAAATGTTGTGCCAATTTGGCAGATACCTAATGAAGGTGACATCTATGGAAATTATTAATGTGAATGGAAGGCCTTTTGTTGCCAACTCTGCTGCCTTTTTCGTTACCTAAAACATATGGTAAACTACAAAAACAACAGTGCAATATAGTGCACCTGGGATAGAAAGCAAACTCAGTAAAAAGGAGGATCAGATTATGTAGAGGAAGTAGGCATGCTGAAGAAGAGAACACAATTCAAGCCACTGCAATCTTATTAGATGCTTATTACATGGTGTCTTGTATTTTGAAACTGGCTCTGAAACTGTGATTGCTTTCCTGGATATTGTGTGCCAGTCTCTCCTGTATATTGTGTGCCAGTCTCTCCTAGCAGCAGGACTTTGATTGAATAACTTGGAAATGATTAAATGACCCTTTGTGAAAATATGTGACAGTCCTTCATTGATCTATACTACACGAGCACATTCTGAATAATAAACCTTGCACAGGCTGCACTCCTCAGTACATGGTGAAAGTCTGCACAAGCCACTATGCTCTGACTTTCGGAAGATGTTCAGTCACATTTGGTAGGATTGAAGAATGGATTTATTGTGCTGCTGCTGATAAACTTGTTCCCTCCAGCCAGTTGTCTTTGTAAGAGAACTCCAATGATAGATGATCAGACTTTTAAAAGGAAAAATTAGGGCAGCTGTCTAGTATTGTTATTGAAGGACCAGGGAGAGGGATGGCAGTTGGGGAGTTATCCTGGGTGACATCTGGGAATGGAATGTGCTTTGTCACAGGACATGCAAAATAAATTAGCTGGAAGAAAGGGGCATTGGGCTAACACACCGTGCAGCAGATGTCCGAGGGCTTGTCTAAATGTGGGCATTCAGGAGAGGTAAAGCAAATCAAAAAATGTTTGAAATCCATGTACATAAATTCATAGATTCAAAGGCCAGCAGAGACCCCTATGGTCATCTGGTGTGACCACCTGTATAACACAGGACTTCACCAGAATAATTCCTAGAGCACATTTTAAAACATCTAATAGCTTGATCTCTTTGAGTATCACAATAAGGCAGATTTTCTGATCTTTTAATCATTCTCATGGCTCTTATCTGAACTCTCTTCCAAGTTCTCCACTTCCTTCTTGAATTTTGGATACCAAAACTAGACACAATATTCCAGCAGTGCTCATACTATTTCCTAGTACAGAGGTAAAATAACGTCTCTACTCAGACTCAAGATTCCTCTGGTTATGCATCCCAGGATTGCATTAGCTGCTTTGGCCACAGCCAAATTCAAGCATGTTTAACACCCATCTGGATGCTTTCAGTCAGAAGTAAAATGGCCTTTGTTTGCTGTATTTTAGAATTAAGTTACTGCAAACAAATGCTGCTTTACTCCTAAATGAGAGGCTCCAGAAGGAGGGTTGTGACAAACTGCTGCAGGTACCCAAAGTAGTGAGACACTGTGTTACCTTCTCTGCTTCAGCAAGGGGGAGCTGTGCTGCTGCTGAGACACATGACAGCTCTCTGATATGCCAGCTTGCCTTCTGCACTCTCACAGCCCAGACCTTGTCCTTCCAATAACAGTCAGTGAATTGAATTCCAGCCCTTGAGTTCCTTGGAGATGGCTGGCTGCAATGCACAACCTCTATCCCAGACAGTTACAAAAGATAGTAAGTTTGCTGCTCCTTTAAAGAAACAGGAACAGCAGTTTCTAGAGTTAACAATCACTTCCGTTCAAGTAAAACAGGGTGGCTGCGTCTGGACTGGCAAGTTTTTCCTCAAAAGCAGGTGCTTTTGTGGAAAAACTTGCTAGCTGTCTACACTGGCTGCTTGAATTTGAGCAAGAACACTGATGATCTCGTGTAAGATTGTCAATGTTCTTGCGGAAATACTATGCTGCTCCCATTTGGGCAAAAGCCCTCCTGTGCAAATGCTTTTGTGCAAAAGGGCCAGTGTAGACAGCTCAGATTTGTTTTGCACAAAAAAGCCCCGATCGCGAAAATGGCGATTGGGGCTTTCTTGCGCAAAACCATGTCTAGATTGGCATGGACACTTTTCTGCAAAAAGTGCTTTTGCGGAAAAGCGTCCGTGCCAATCTAGACACTCTTTTCCACAAATGCTTTTAACAGAAAAACTTTTCCGTTAAAAGCATTTGCGGAAAATCGTGCCAGTCTAGACGTAGCCAGTACATCTACACAGGAGGGCTAAAGTCGAATTAAGCTACGCAACTTGAGTGATGTCAATTGCATAGCTTAAGTTGAAATCGCTTATCTCGCCTTTTGGTGCTGTTTATACAGCAGGAAGTCAAAGGCAGAACACTCTTCCTTCGACTTCCATTTCTCCTCATGAAATGAGGGCTACCAGGAGTCCGATTGAGAAGTTTGCCAGTTCACCATTATTTTGAAACAATGGCTTGCAGTGTGGACATGCTCTTTGTTATTTCGGGATACGGTCAGTTATTCCAAAATAACACTGCTGTGTAGACATAGTTATGGTTGGTTAAGGTAAGAAGTAAAACAAGCTTATTTAATCAAAACCAGACATTTTACATGAGTTCAACTATAAGGGATGAAGATAGAATTCCAAACAAACAACAGCAAAGTATGATTTACAATGGCAAACCCTTAACATCTTTATTCCAGGTAGGTTCCTCACCAATCTTTCTTTTCCAGCTTTTAGCCAGGATCTCAACAGGGGCCACATTCCCGATTTTCCTTTTCTCCTCAGGCAAAGGATAACTTGAGCTTGATCTTCTTCTCTTTACAATCCAGTAAAGCTATGAAATGTATTTTTCTGAAATGCATCCCCCATAAAGTTCCTTTATTCCAGATTTACCATTCTGCCTGGGGTAGATGTCATGCTGTCTTGTCCCCTGGCGGTGACTCTTATGATGTAAATGACCTCTCCCTGCAACTTGTGATACAAAGGAATAGCCACCCCTGATTTGAGATGTCATCCCTTTCCTTTGGAGAAGACCGATTCATCAATTCGTCCAGCATGCCTGGTTTAAATACATTTTAGTTATAATTTCAGCATATCTGCATAATCCCTTGTAGGCTGAACATAAATACATCGCACAAGAATATTAATGATCAGTGAGTCATTTATTTTTCAGTAATTTCTTACATGATGCCTTTTAGCTACAGATTAAAATAATACTGAGTTGGGATACATTGAGATGATCAAAGCAGCTGACACTCTCTGTTAAATACCAAGGAATCCCTTGCTTTCTGGCATATGGTTGCTTTTAGGGTCACAGAGTTTAATACATTTTAATTTCTGTGAATTTACTTCATATCTTTTAATTGATTTCCCTAAATGCCCAGGGGTGGACATGCCCTGAGAGAGGGATTGGATTAGTGACAGGGACATGGGAGGGTTTGACAATTGGACAAAGATTTAGACTAAGAACTCTTGTCATTCAAGATATAAGAGGGGCCTGGGTGCTGGAAAAGAGGCCTTTCTGTGGACTGTGTCACTGGATGGAAGAGGAAGTGTGGTCACAGGTGGGAGGTGACTCAAAGCAGCTTATTTTAGAATCACAAAACTAGAGATGGGAAACCCTGCAGTATTAGATGATTTTGTCTATGCCCCTGCTCATGCAGGATTGTATTTTCAGTTGTAGAGTCTAGTTTTAAATCACTCAAACACTGGGGCATCTACCACATTTCTTTGGAAGATATCCATACGCTGATCATGCTTATTGTCGGAATGTTTTTGTAATTGCTCCGCTAAAACAATCGTATGTGTCTGACAAGGTTCATTCTTTGTAAACTCTTGCAACATATTGATCATAGTTCTTTCCTCCTGTAGGAGCAGTTCCAATTTTTTCTTTTACACTTAGTGCTGGGACTAGACCGTAATTACCAAGTTTTTGCTGCTGAGGTGACATACTGTAGAGGGGCTTCTCATTTACCTAGAGTTGCAGGCAGCCTGTGTCACAGAACTGCCCAATGCGGAAATGTCACACACAGAATGTATGGTGTTTGGTGGCCTTACTCTAGACATGCCCAGTTGAAGTGCTCTATGATTTGGAAAGCCTCAAAACGCATTCCATTTGCACAGTTTCATTAGAAGGTCAGAAGGCACACAGTGCATCATTGTGGCAGAGCACAGAACACTTTAGCCTGAATCCCTTAAAGACAGAGAGAGGGAACGGTTACAAGAGCAGAACAAACTGTCAGCCAATTGAAGCTGGGTGGAAAAACGGTTTTAATATAATTGGCCATGCTAATGGAATCTCTGCATGAGAGCAAAAGTGGGCTCATCTGGTTTACTAGGATGTCAGCATCTGCAGTAGCTGAGCATTAAGTTTTAGAGAGAAAACCAAACACATTGGCAGCCACTTTTGTTCCTATTGGAACAATACTTGTTTTTTTAAAGTTTCAAAATAAAAACCTTTTAGTTTTCAACAAAAATATTTTAAGTAACAGAAACCCCCAAGCTATAAAACAAAAAGAGAATGAGAATATTGGTGTGTGGACATAGGCCCGTATAGAAAAATAATTCCAAATTAAATAGCAGATTTGAACAAAAGGGAGTGGTTTTCCTTTTGCATTTTTTGGTATTGGCCAGGGTTTGTTGTATTGTTTTAGCTATAGTATGCATTTTCTTTCATTTCTGTTCAATTCCATTGATAGGCTGAAGAGGTTTCAGAATGTTTTGTCAAAATAATAATAGAGATGTAGCCGTATTATTCTGGTCTTGCTGAAACAAAAGACAGGACTATGCAGCACTTTAAAGACTAACAAGATGGTTTATTAGGTGATGAGCTTTCGTGGGCCAGACCCACTTCCTCAGATCAATTTGTGGAAGAAAATTGGCAGTCTGGCTCATGAAAGCTCATCACCTAATAAACCATCTTGTTAGTCTTTAAAGTGCTGCATAGTCCTGTCTTTTGTTTGTCAAAATAATGTTCTATAATCTATAAATCTGTACTCCTACTCAAATATCGAATTATGCATGCCATGAAATTTGTTTGTACTGGGATTTATTTTACGTGTGTGTGTGTGTGTGTGTGTGTGTGTGTATATAATATATATAAAAAATAAAGATAAGTTTCTCTCCTATCTGTCTATTCCTCTCAGAGTTTTATACTGCTGCCCATCACCACAGAATCTGAACTCTTTCCATGTGGTTTTAATCCAAATGGTGTGTGATCTCTGCAGTATATGTTGATACAATTCTTTCAAACATGATTTTTTTGATGAATATATTGGCTTTAATCCAAAATACAAGAGAGCAGTTTTCTGTATAATAAGCTTATGAATAATTATCAAACTTGGTAGGTGTCAGGGCTGTTCTCCACTCTGGCACTCTGAATGCAGAAGGTGAGGGCCCACAAGAGAGCTTAAAAACTTTGCCTCTACAGCCACTGGTTACAAAAACTTCCCCCAGAATCACAATACACAGATTTTGGGGGTTTGCTGCCACCATCAAGTGAGTTTAATCCCTAAAAAACCAGGGGTGAACAGTTGTACCCACCCCCAGGGGTATCCCAAGCACTTTTGCTCCAAAAGTCCTCGGGGAGGGAAAAAAAAAAAAAAAAGGAAAACAAGCTGCCGTCTCTGGTAGCTGATCTCTCAGTCTGAGGCATGCAGATACATACAGAGAGACATATCTTCCAGGACACAAGAATCAAATCATCACCTTAAAAAAGTGATTTTTATTATAAAACAAAAGATAAACTTGATAAAGCATACTTGATTGCTAGATGTTACAGAGCAACTAAGGAAAACAAATTAAAATACAGAGAAAAGTCTCTGGCCACAATGCTAGATGCTAAATGGGGTAAGGAGACACAGATTCACATAGAACAGTTCAAACTAAACCACAAAATAAAGAAAAAATACCCTGAATGCGACTAGATTCACTTATCTGTTTTACTTACTTCCAATCTTCTCTTTATTCAGTCCATTCCCTGAATTCTTTGGAGGCATGGGAGTCCTCCCTGGGTTTAAATCATTCTATGTCTCTCAGCTCCTGGGTTTTTTTCTCACACAAAGAAAGCAGGCAAGGAATCTATATCCAATTCAAATTTCAACACTCTATCTCAATTGGTTCTCCCGGCCCCCTGGCCAAAACCTTTGCTAGCTACCTGAGTTTAAACCCTTAATTAGCTCTCCTGACCATTGCAGTTGGCAAAGTAGAGAATAGGAAATGTCTTACTGTCATCATCAAATGCACATACCCTATTGAGGGCTCTTGTGACAGCCGGAGTGGCTCTTTAGTTATTCATTATTTGTATGATATTCCATAAAATATAAATTAAATCAAAACCACTGTTTTATTTGTTATTGGTAAGTAAATTATTTAGAATGTTAGAAAAAGACATTTTGAAAAGCAACAACACAAGTTATTTTTATTGATTATAAAATAATTTTGACATGGGTTATCCAAAGCCGTGCTGCGATTGTTTGCTTGGGAAGTTTTAGTGATATATATCTTTAAATTCCTCATCGTTGAAGGGGAAAGGTTTTTGTGTATTTCATCCAACATAGCCCCCTGATAAAAAAAAAAATAGCTCACGGCAAAACGTAAAAGAAATCATACAGAAAGTTCAATACAATTATTTCCCAGCATATTATTGTAATTGTTTTAATGTATTCAGTATTCCAAATGGAGTTGCCCAAGCTCTTTCTAGATGTGTGTCTTCTGCCTGTTCCAGTCATTTCCGTCATACCTCTCAATCCACCGATAGCCTTTAGGATGCTCTCTGGCAGACAGGCCATTCTGAACCTCCCATCATCACTCTAAAACCACTGACTCTTATTCTGAGCTATTTTCTTCAGTAGGAGATGGAATGTTCAAAATGGTCCAGTAGGAAGAGAAGTCTTATGAGCAGCTGCTGGGCTGTGACTATGTGTTTGGTGGAAGATCGCGGGAGGTGATTTTCTAATGCAAAATAAGGAGGAAGAAAGTGGATTTGCTATGTAGTGCTCTCTGGCTGTTGAAACAAACATCTTTAAGTAGGAGCCGATTAGCTTGTATCCTCCCTCTTTTTGAGCCATCTTATAATGGCTTTACTTTTTTTTGCCTTGGCACTCCCCAAAATTTTTCCAGATAGTTCCTGGTTTTCCCTAACCAACCAAACTCTACCCTAGGCCGGTGGGGGCCATGCAGCCTGGCCAGTAGCTGCTCTGTGGCTCTCAGGGGCAGTCAGGAGAGGCATGGAACATGCTTGCTTGTTGCCTTCCCACATGGTCATTCAGGAGTTTCGCTGTGCTTTGTGCTTGCTGACCCCGGGGGTTATTCTGGAGTATAACTGTCCCTGCTATCACAACCCTACCTTTCTGTTTGATGAGAAACAGTCGCATTCCAGGCACGTCTCATTTCCGTGGCCCAACCAAACCCTGACCTTGCTTTAAGTTCTGATAAGAGGAAGTTGCATCCCAAATTTGGAGGGCCTAGGTCTTACCATTTGTGATGTAGTGTGGTGTGCTGTACACTCTTGTGGCCCTGGGCAGTCTCTGGTTGCTGTGTTGTGCTGTGAGCGATCCCTACTGGCCGGTGTCTGTAAGCGCTGCTCAGCGGGCGGTGGTCCCTGGGGGCAGTGCACGTAGACCATGACTAGCAACTTCACACCTGGCCAGGGGAAGGAAGAGGAGTGGCTACCTGGGGGGATGAGTGTTCTGTGGTTTGGAGAGGGGGCAGTCTTTGCTGGGCAAACATGAAAAGAACAGACTAAGTCGAGTACTGGGGGTTCAGAGGCCCAAGGGGTCTGCCTGCCCCCTTACTCCTATGTCCACATCAAACCCGGGATGTGCTGTATTTCTGAGAAGCAAGTAACCCAACTCCTGCTGCAGACAGTGTTAGGTGGATGGAAACATTTTTCTGTCAGCCTAGTAACCTCCCAGGGAAGTGGATTATGATAATGATGGGAGATCCCTTCCTGTTGCTACAGTGTCTACACTGAAGCACTACAGCAGCCCTGCTGGAGCATTTGAAATGCAGGCAGGGCCAAGGGACGTGTAGGGTTGGAGGGAAATGTGCGAGCCAGCAGGAAGGACTGGGAAATGAATGCAGGGAGACCTCACCCTCCCCTGGAGCTCTGACAGTGTGTGTGGGGGGGAGGCTAACTGGCCCACTAGGAGGATTTAAGAATGGGCACTAGCCCTATATAAATTGAGTTTGAGACCCCTGGTTTAAAGCTTTGATTGATGCAAAAGATGGAGATTCAATATCATTCTGCTACCATGTGCGTATATCCACGCTGGCCATTCTTAGGTACTACACAGTAAATGTAAAGAATCAAATGGTCTACAGAATATATTGTAGCACATATTCAGAGCTAATTTGTGGGAGAATTTTGGTTCATGCATAAGTCTTTGCAGGCTCTGCCCTCTATTGCAGGGTTTATCAAATTCAGCTACCAGGGGGAATTCCTGGGCCCCAGCCTCCTAGGTGCGAGTGGGAATGGGGCAAAGCATTGGTGCCTCCCATCAGTCACCAGCAGGTGCTGTCGATGGCTCCTTCTGGAGTCTCAAGCTGCGGGAGCAGGTGACAAGTGAGTTCCCCATCTTCCCGGGGCAGTGCTACTCAAACTTCAGCTGGGTGGTGAGTGGCAGGCTCTGGCTGCGCAGTGGCGAGCTTTGACAACCAGCTGCAGGGCTTTGGGCTCCAACCCAGGGATCCCAGGATCACCTTCTGCATGTCACCTCTGGCCCCTGCTGCCTCCTCTGTCCCAACCACGCAATGGGGCATCTTTGGGCTCACCTGCACCCTTCATCTCTCAACCCCCACTGCCAGTTCCAGGGTTCCATCCCCATCGCCTTGGTATTCGCTCTTCCCTACCCACTTCCTCATCCAGGGGTTGATTTGTTGCACGGTTTGCTGGGGCTAAGTCTGTCTGCTATTAAAAGTCATACTAACAAATATAGAAATATCACTTTTCACAGTTGCAGGCTCATTAGCTAGCAGATCTTAAAAACACAAAAAAGCAAAACATGCAGAGCACCTTATTCGCTTATATTTGTTTAGGTCCAGTAAAAAATAGAGCCAACTGTACATTATTTTCATTATTTAGATGGCAAAAACTCCTGTATAAATAAACGGCAGTTATTTGGACATGTATATGTGCATATTCATTAATTTGTCCTAAAGTTAATTATGTTTTTTGGAAAAAATTGTCAGAGTGGCCACCAGCAAGATTTGGTGGCCACACTCTAAGGCCACCAAAAATTTGTAAGAACCCCTGAGAAATCAGCACTAAACTTGTACATTAATCTCTCTTTTTCTTACTGTTTCTCCTCTTCACAGAGATTCTCATCAGAATAAAGATGGCAGAAATCAGTTCTCCTGCAAATATCAAAGAAAAGGTAGGCTTGAATAATTAGTACAGTGCGAATATTGAGAAATATTTACATACATAATGATCCCTAAGCTGATCCCCAGGCTGACCCTGCACATAGAATCATAGAATCACAGGGTTGGAAGAGACCTCAGGAGGCCATCAAGTCCAATCATTGTCAAAAGCAGGACCAATCCCAACTAACTCTTTCCAGCCAGGACTTTGTCAAGGGACTTAAAAACCTCTAGGGATGAAGTTTCCACCACCTCCCGGACCTTAGGTAACCCATTCCAGTCTTTCACCACCCTCCTAGTGAAATAGTTGTTCCTAATATCCAACCCTAGACTACCTCCACTGCAACTTGAGCCCACTGCTCCTTATTCTGTCATCTGTCACCACTAAGAACAGCCTCTCTCCATCCTCTTTGGAACCCTCCTTCAGGTAGTTGAAGGCTGCTATCAAATCCCCCCTCACTCTTCTATAGACTAAATAAGCCCAAATCCCTCAGCCTCTCCTCATAGGTCATGTGCTCCAGACTCCTAATAATTTTTGTTGCCCTCTGCTGTACTTTGTCCAATGTTTCGGAAGGTTAGCCAAGTTAGTCTGTAACTAGAAAAACTTAAAAAACAACAAATAATCTAGCAGCACCTTAAAGACTAGCAATACATGTAGATGGTATATGAGCTTTCCTGGGTACAACCCATTTCTTCAGATGAATGGAGCTTTAAAAGTCCAGATCCAAGAATAAATAAGAGAAGGAAGGAGGAAAGGGAGAAAAAAAGTGAATTAGAGTGTTCAAGTTACAGGAAGCTGATAAGAACAGTTTGCACCTTCTCTAAATACCCATTGTTTAGTGGGTTAAGTCATTAGGATGTGGAAGGTAGTGTGCCTGCCAGCCAATGTCTTTATTCATACCTCTGTGATAGGATTCAAAGTTGTAAATGAAGTTAAAATCCAACCCTGCCTTGTGTATTTGGTTTGTGGAATTGACCTGAAAGAACATGATGTCTTTGAGATCCATTAATGATTGCCCGGACAGGTTAAAGTGTTCTCGAACAGGTTTTTGTGTGTTGTATTTTTGGATATCTGATTTGTGTCCATTAATTCTTTCCCATTGCGACTGCCCAGTTCGGCCAATATACATGTCGGAGGGGCATGGCTGGCATATCACATTAGTGGATGCGCAGTTAAATGAGCCTAATATAGTGGCTTATGTGGTTGGGTCCAGTGATGCTTGTGAAGTTGTGTAGACAGAGTTGGCACTGGGTCTGATTGCAGGGGTGGGTTCCTAGGTGATTATGATGGAGGTGTGCTGCATGGTTACTGGAAAGAATTTGTTTGAGGTCAGGGGGTTGTCTGTAGGCAAGGATTGGCCATCAAATGGCAGCAATACCCCTGGGGACCCAGCCAAGAAAAAGAACATTCACTCTTCCTGCCTCTCCGATTTTTCATTGTTTTTTTTCCTCCTCCTCCTATATTATAAGTAATTAAAATAAAGTGAGGTACTTTGATTGTTTTTACAGTCTAACTTTTTTTCACAGACTACTTGAAAATTGCTGATGGTCTCGGTGGACCACTTAATGATCTTTCCAAATGTTGTTTGTGTCATTAACTATTGTAAAGTATTGGATAAGAGCACTTTATAAAAAACATAGTAACTTTTCCTTAGTCCACCTGAATGGAGTTCTTGGAGCACAGTTTGAGAGCTTCTGTTGTAGATGAAAGCTTGTATTTCCATTAAGCTAACATGAAAAATATGTAAAAATAAAATATATAGATGATGCATGAATGGAAAAATAAATGCTAGCTTCCTCTGAAGAAATGTATTCAATTTGAAAAAAAAAATTCAGATTGCTTCCTTTTTACAGTTTTTCTTTACAAAATCATCAATTAAGTCATCATAAGTAATATTTTGTAAAGAGGCACTTTCAATTGTCAATACTGTCGGCAGAGGCATGTAGATTAGACAGATAGGCAAAGGCAAATGAAGCCGCGATTTAAATGATCACGACTTCATTTACATTTACATGGCTGCCGCGCTGAGCGACAAACAGCTGATCAGCTG